AGGTAGGTATTTTAATAGGTATATATGCCATTGCTAATATACAACTTGGGTAAAGGCTCACACCTACTAGGAGGGCTCAAAGAAATGAAGTAATGTCATTCTTACGTTGAGTCAAGTGTGTTTGATACCTACTAATCGGTCCTTACCAATATCAACTTTCTACACAATTACACTACCACCTAGCGTTCCGTAACATATTCTGCCCTGAACAAAAAGTAATGTAAAGAAAGGACAGTGTGCTTTGAACGGCCGCTAATAACGTACACCCTATGCAGGAGATTGACTGCAGATTCGCAATCCCAGATTAACATACGCATGAGATTCTACTGTGTATTAGCCCTCGAGTGAAGCACCTTACCTGAGAACAGCTATTCAACTGGGTGATGGAAATTTCGATCAATGTGGCACTGAGACATCAACAAAGTATAATGAACTAGATAGACATCCAGGTGGGCCTCGAACGACTATTGCTAAAGCAATGCAACTCGAAGTCTAGATCCAGCCATATCAGGATTCAGCCTATATTTCTGTAGAATTGTCTATCATGATCATGAAAAGGCGGGAGTTCATGGCTGGACTTACTGCATAGAAGTGGCGTAATTAAATGCAGAAGCTCTCCCCAACAACCCTTATTGAACCATAACAAAGCCACACAATAGTCTAAGAAATTAGCTACAAGTGCATTGAAACCATGTTTATGATTAGAGATATGGTTTTCCCCAGACTGGGGTCATCAGTGCAAGGTCCACGGGGCCTCGACTTGAGTTTCTAGTCGACGATACCTTACCGCAAAAAAGCTTCAAATAGATCGTGTAAAGTCAGTCATGTTATTAGCACAGGAGAGTATCCCTTGGTGATTTTCGCGTACTGTGTACCCAATGAAGGTTTTTTAGCTCTTGACATGTTCGTGTCTGAGGAGGATCAACAGTGGTAAAGTGTAGAACTGATATATCACATTTAACTCCTGAGCGATCTCGGCACAGGCAATCCAAGGTTTGCCAGCCCCCACTGTGTTCCTGCGAGGCCCTCTGCGGTGTAAGAAGGGTCCATCCGGATATTGGCTTCCTGCATATGCGGAACTAAAATTATTTGAGTGGAGGCTGAAGCTATGGAGCTCCGTCCACCCCCTGAATCCATCCTAAACACCACTCGGCAATGATCCCCCCAATCTCCAGCCAGACCCCTGATGGTCATGCAAGGGTTTACGAGCGAAATGAGATGGAGTCAGCCACATGAACTATAGGATATTCATGACTATAGGTGCTTAAAGTAGAAGGAGGCATATGTCTAGCCCTCGTTCCAAAAAGTTATAAAGGGAACTTGGATCCCTCCCCAAATCGTTCTTCATCACGAACATAATCAGCCAATCAAGCAAAGGATCACTCTTGAACTCTCACTCCTATACAATCACTTGTTCCAAGTCATCCATCCAACCCAATCAACCATCAAAATGAAGTTCTTCGCTGTCGCTGCCCTCTTCGCCACCGCCGCCATGGCCGCTCCTGGTGCTCCTGCTCATGCTCCTGGTGCTGTTGCCGGCAGCGGTAACGCCCCGACGGTGCTTCAGACCCAGCAGATCCAGGAGAAGAAGAACCAATTCGCAACCACATGCAGCGCCAACCAACATGAGACCGTCTGCTGCGACTCGGTGGACGCCTCGAAGACGCAGAGCTTGTCCGGCCAGAGCAGCGATGCCCTCTTGGGCGGCCTCCTGGGCGGCCTCCTCAAGGACGGCCTCCTGAACGACCTCCTCGAGGACGGCCTTCTCAATGACCTTAGTCTTGTTGGGGGCAACCGTGGCGCTTGCAATGGTGAGTTTTCAGCAACAAATATCCCGTATTCTAGATGATTAACCGGTTATGCAGGTCTTAATGTCCTCGGCGGAGAATGCAAGACCAACATCGGTTGCTGCCAGCAGAATGCCGCGAGCAACAACGTCCAGGTAAGCGCCACCGACCATATTCTGATGGCCAAGATGCTAATATATAGCAGAATGGCCTCGTCCCCATCAATGTCCAGCTTCCTTGCGTTCTCAGCAATGGCTTGCTTTAAATCCTTCCCCGCACAAGGATCCTTAGCGCTTTCGCCGTTTGTGCACAGATGATTTGAGATATTGTATTCGCTTCGCCCATTATGTACACTCTAGAAAGTTTATGTTTGTGACTGCATGTCCATACTAGAGTCGCTCTCTTGTCAATAATTACAATCTAATCAAGCTGTCATTATTTTGAATTGGCTATCCTGATGTGGAGTAGTTGCATCCGACTTGGCTGTGTAAAAGACTATCTTCTTCGTTGTTTGCCTCAGGCCGCGGTCGGAACCACACCGGAGCGCGTTCCGTCTTCGGGTGCACTTCCTGTCGGCAGTCTCCCTTTCATCCATGACTGGTCGGTTCGGCGTGTTCAATATCCCACCATTATGAATGAATCGACTACTGGAAAACTCCCGGACCCTGGCAGACCTCCGGGCACTGGAAAAGACGCCGGCCGTCCGAACAAGCGGCGCAAAATAGCCGTGGCTTGCGATGAATGTCGTGTTCGGAAGACCCGGTGCGATGGCGCACAACCCGGTATGTTTATTCTCGAGCAATATAAAACATCACCAATGCCTTGAATCATACCAGGATTGATACCAGATTTGACATCTGATTTCCTTCCCGTAGTGTGTGGGCCATGTACGAAAAAAGCAGATCCAGGTGTGCAGTGTGTTTACACTGGAAAGCAAAAGCTCGATGTAAAAAAGTAAGTCAAGACGATACTTGTAGGCGACCCTCATCATGTGGGGTTGCCTCTGAGTGAAGGGTAATTCAGGCTAACGCGACCTGGGGTGAAGCTATATTACTAGCTTGGAGAGTCGTCTCAAAGCTTTCGCACGGCCGCCTCGTACTCCGGCAAGTGTGGGACATGAGAGCTCCGGACACAGTCAAGTAAGCAAACGTGCACCCTACAAAGACGGTTCCAAGCAGGCTAGTATCCATTTGTGGTGCTCTGACTAGTTTAATAGGAGCCCACCTTCTCATATAGCCCAGTCTCGTCATCTGGTGTTCCTGTAGCCACTCAGTTCACTTCATCATCTTCAGTTCCGGATAATTGTCACAGGTTATCAAGTTGTATCCCCGCGAATACCAGTGCAGGCGACAACTCCCCGTCTGCCAGTGCTTATCGAAGCCCTTCCGGACGAAATGCTGGTTACGTATCCGGGCTGGCTCAGACGCGTCAACGAGCGGACGGTGTGAATGCAATGATGGGTGCGGTCGAAGAGGAGCGCCCGACGCAAGGCTTCTTTGGCAGCTCTAGTGCCGCCAGCTTCATGCATCAGATAAAGATGGCCGTGGACAGAAGGGTCACTTCACCCCACCGGCGAACATCCGACACCATTCTAGGAGTATCCCATGCTCCAGGGCTCATGAGTACGGCATCGGAAAGACATTTTAATATTCAGAACTATGTCTTGCCACCGAGAAAGACAGCCGACAGTCTAATGGGAGTTTATTGGTCTTTCGTCTTTCCCCTCTATCCCCTTGTGGATGGTATCGGGCTGAGGGCTGAATATGAAAAGGTCTGGACGGGTGAACCACTCGAAAATGACGAATCGATGCTCATGTGTACATTGAACGTCATATTTGCTCTAGCCTGCCAGCTGGCTGACTTCATACCCCCGGAGGAGCGAGAGGCATCCGCAGACGCATTCTTTTCGCGCGCAAAGGATCTTCTCCAGTTCAACCTTTGGGACACAGGATCTGCTGCCCTCATTCAATGTTTACTTCTGATGGCGCAGTACCTGCAAAGCACTGATTCGGCCCACCAATGTTGGATTGTTACTGGTCTGGCGATACGGAATGCCCAGAGTTTAGGTCTACATCTTCCGCAAACTATTGCTCGGCTGCCGAGCCCACAGGAGCAGCAGCTAGCACGCAAAATATGGCACGGATGTGTGCTAATGGATAGGTATGATAGGCTTTGTTCGTTCAATCTGCAGTGCCTAACATTGAGCAGAGTCATCTCCATGACGTTTGGACGACCCGCAATGATATCGAAAGCGTCCTGTGAATCAGTGCCTTTGCCCGCCACGGTGGATGAGGAGTATATTCCGACAGCTTCCGGCATCGAAGCCACACAACCAGCTGACCAGCCATCTGTGATGGCATTCTATGCCAAGTCGCTTGAGTTGTATGAAATCATGAACGATATCTTGTTGAGTTTATACCAACCTGTCCCCGAGGAGAGTCCAGAGGACATGTATGACTTGTATTTCAACAAGGAAACTAGTCAGGGTGAGCGAACGATCTTCGAACTTGACCGAGCTCTATCCAAGTGGAGCCAAAGTCTTCCATCACATTTACGGGGAAATTCACCAGCGGGCTCTACGGACGTGGTCTTTTACCACCAGAGCGTGGTGCTTAGAGCGAGGTATGGCATGTCAATCTTTTAATGCCCTATTTCATATAGTACAGTGAGAACTGGTAGCTCACTTCCCGTTTCACAGATTCCTACATGTCCGTATGCTTCTGTTTCGTCCAATATTGTCCAGATACTGCGCAGCTCGCGACATCACGGTCCCTGATTCTCTTGTGTCACCCAGCGACTCATTTCCCCAACGAATCGCCTGGCAGTGCTCAGCTATATGCGTCAAGGTGGCGCAAGAAGTAATCGAACTGATATATGGGAACATTCCTGCAGATGGGTCTTCGGGCCCTCTTCCCGCTTGGTGGTACAACATTCTCTGTGAGTTGGAATAGCGGTCGGTGTTCGACGCTCGGCACAGACTAACAAGCAATAGATGTATACACAGCCGCCACAGTCTTAATAGCGGGCTACCTTTGTCCCACAGTCCTGGACGAAGTGACTGAAGGTGCAATTACGAGGTCTTGGAATTGTGCTTTGGAAATTCTTCGGAAGTACCAGAGTTACAGCACATCTGCACGTCGATGCGTAGCGGCTCTAGAAATTCTCTATGAGAGGGTGGTGTCAGAACGACCCCTATTCCATGAACCATCCTCCAGTGATCAGCAACAGAGTACTGCGTCCAATGCGGTCAATGACATGTCTCTTGGAGAGGGCATTAATGCTATGTTCATGGAAGGCTTTGATTGGCCGGATTTCCAAGACATGTCCTGGTTGAACAGTGTGCCGAGTAGCTTACACTGAGGCAGGGGTCAAGATCCTCTATGCTATGACAGGCTGGCCGGCGAATTATATCGGGAACCGTTTCACGCTGTTCGTCTGCTCTACGACAAAACCGTGCTTGCTTCCGGGGTGTGCATCCTGATACATCTGTGACGTTCCATCTTCTGTATAGGTTCTTGCTAATGCGAATCATTGCCGGTTCGTGCAATACAGTTCGTTGACACCCGTCCGTCATTGACTTCTCCGACTGGAAACAACATGCATCGCTACGATAGGGCCCAAAGCACACACGCCAATGATTGCACACATGACCCCTGCAGCGCCGCCAAATTTCAAGGTTTTAAACATGGGCGGAAAATAGAACGGACCGATCTAGGGTTCGATATTAGCTTCACGGGTGATAGAATGTGAAGGGCTTGATATATCTTACAAATCCATAGATATGGCGGACGAAGTTGACAAACACACCGATGTCGGTGGATTGATCCTTGTAGCAATCCACCGCGAACGAGATGAGAATGGTGGTCAGGATCTGATTCCCAAAACTCGCAATCGCCGCGCCAACGCAGGGGGTGACGTTCCACGATCTGGCATTATCCAGTTGAAATCCCCATGTCAAGAGTCCCGCGATGACGGTTGCGAACCCAATGTACGAAAGCCATACGCGATCAGCCGGTCGGAACTGGCCTCTTCTTTTACTCAATGTTTTCATGAACCAGTCTGACATGGGCCCGCTCACTTGTTCCCCGATAAGGCTCCCTATAATCACTGCAATATACTGCAGTCCGATCTGCTGCGCGTCGAAATGAAACTTTTTGCCAAAGGCAATGGGCATTTCAACGATGATGGCCGTATTGGCATAGCAAAAGACAACACACTGGGCAATCGTAGGAATCAGAATTCGCGGATACCGGTACAAGAAGATCCACTCTATGAACTCGCGAGGTTTCAGAGGGCGTGGGTCGATTCGGCGAGGGATAAGCTTGCTCGTGCGGCCACCCTTACCACCACCAGCATCCCCGGGGACGTATATCGTTTCCTCGCCCAGTAGGAGGTAAGTGAGGAACTGCGCGAAGTTGATAATGGCGTATATCCAGTAAATCCACTCGAAGCCGATATGCTTTGCGACGAAGCCCATGATAAACGGCCCCGCCGGAGTTCCAAGCGTGGTCATCAACGTCCACCACCCCAGCTTCTGGGCTCTTTCTTCAGGCTCGCAGAGCTCAGTGATGACACCGCTCCCGATGCCAATCGGCGGTGAGATGAGTATGGCAGTGAGAACCCGTGTCACCATCTGTGCTCCATACGTTGAGCACCGAGCGCCACCAATATTGCAGATCAGACTACCGAGAACGGAGACCAGTGATACGTGGTATCTACCGTAGATGCAAGTAATCGGTTTCCAAAGAAATGGCGTGAGTCCCAACACCAGGATCTGTTGCGGCATATATCAGCGTTTTCGGTCTCAATTTCGATGTGCATGTGGTGGAAAGGGAAAACGGACTTGGATCGATGTTAGATAGCTCGCCTCTGGCACTGTCACGCCGTACGCTTCAGCCATAGCATCAAATGCTGGGATGATTCCCGCAGCCATAAAGGTCGCCACCATGGAATGGAAAGCGACCATTAGAATTTGGATATTTTTCTTCCAAACGGGCCAAGTACGGGGGTCTTCGGGGCAGTACATGTTTTCAGCCTGCTGGATAGGGACCGCTGGGGATGCGCCCTCGAGAGGGACGGATGTTTCCGAGTTACTTTTCTCTGTTTTTTCCACCATTGCATGAGATATTGAAGTGCCGTGCGACATTTCCTAAGGTGCAGAGTCCGATGTTGTTCGAAGTGCGGGGAAAACGTGCACAGGATTACTTCGGCGTTATGATATCAGGTCGCATTGGAATAGCAACCATTGCCAAGGAAATATCAAGATAGGGGTTCGCGACTACCGGTTCACAAATACCAACGATTTCGAGAATCTGCTCCTCGAGGGAACGGCAGGTCTATGTAGGAGTACCAGCGCAGCATATTAAGGCCCTTGCTTCGTTGTCAAGAACTATTAACCGCTTGCAGCGAGGCACAGGATTGGCGTAGTTGAGCAAGAATCATTGGTTCCCATAGCGCCCAGGTGCTGGTCTTTATATCCGTGTTGACTAATGTTATACATAGTTGAGGTGGAGCATGAGAGATTGCGTTAGATATAACTCCGTGTGTCAAATGTGGTATCGGATCGTGGTGATTCAAGTAGTAACTTGCGTTGTTCTGTTGCCGATAAAGCTACCACAAAATTATTCACGATTCGTCAGATGTTCTGAAGAGATGAGATCCCTTCCGTTCGGTCGGGTACCTGAACCAAGGGTCTAGACTTTTTCCCCGCTTGAAGCGATCCAAGCTGCTCATCCCTGTACTCAGTATCCTTAGTTCATTCTGCTATAGACCCACAATCAGCTGGAGAGTACTAAGGATATGGATAATCTTGCTGACGAGGGTGTCAAAGAGCCATTTCGACAGTTCTATTTTTCTCTGAATCAGAGCGACTGAAGGGTGGATCTGCTGCTGGATGTGTTCCACGCCAACTTATCGAAGAGGCAGTCTCTTCTAGTCACGAATTCAACCGATATCTACCTCATGACACACCTTTAGTCATCGTCCAGCGAAAGCACACACTTAGCATACGCAGATTTCTTCACTAGATCAAGACTTGATAGTTGAGGCTAATAGGTTTCACATCACCTCCTACTGTATAGCCGCCTGACGGAAAGCATGGTTAAAGCATGTACGCCTCCAAGCTTAAAGAGTGGCCATATCAGTGTGGCTCACTGCATCGACAACTCTACAGAATATCAAAATGCCAAGATATCATTGATCATGAATCAGTTCAACTGTTAATGTTTTCAGGTTCTTTTCAATCTTATTTCTAACATACAAGCGATTTTACCCCCTTACTTCCTGTGCTTTTGTTCCTTACATGACGGTGTCGATACCCAGTGTATTCCCCGTTCTGGTTCGCAGGATCTTCCGTATGTTAACGTAGCTAATCCTTTCTGTCCCGGTGGCTGGATATGCCGCATGTCTTCGTCCGCGGTCAGGAACTTCGCGGTACCGTCTGTAGGAACCGCAGTTGTCTATGTCCCTATTCTGGTTTCGTACCTGTCCCCTTGTGTCTGTGGATACATGGACATATGTAGCGGGAAATCACTTTATACCAAGACGGCGACGTATACAATTTCTCTGCTGGTATACGTTATAAATCTCATCAGAGATCATCTTCCATTGCTTTGTGACTTCAAGCACGGCTTCCCACTCAGCCAATAACTGAGGAGAGTATTTGTTGATAAATGCCCCCAATCTAGGTATAATTTCATAATTGTTAGTCACGGAAGTTATATTCGATAGACTAAGAAAGTATATACGTACCTCGTCTGGGCTCTTAGATATGTACCACATGTGGTACAAGAGGGTGAACCCGAGAAGCACAATGGTCAGCCCAGTTCCAATAACAGGATAATGACCGTCTAATCAGAAATTATCTGCTCCAAGAGAGCTTCGACCCTGCATTGCCCAAATCTTCTGCGGACGTAGGGATATAAATTTCCCTATACATATGCCATGCCTAAGTAAGATTCCTAATTGCTAATCACGGAAGTTAACATTTAACTAATAGATTAAGGAGGTGTATACGTACATTGATCTTGGGCAAAGCCCAGTAGCATGGCCGGTAAGGCCGTACCAAGTGTAGGGCATGCATGGGTTATCTCCAGCTTTCGGCGTGTAAGTGCTGAGTGGATCACTCAAGAAAGGCAATAACCAATGCAGCCCCCACGACTGCGTAAAGATACAGGCGTTGTGCCTGAACAGATGTAGAATCATGAGCACTCGAGTTCATTGCGTTACTGGTGTTTATTTATCTTAGACGTATACGATCAATGTATTCAGTATGGAGTAAAGAGAGATAGTATCTCATGAGGAATAGTATATTGTATCCAACACTCTGAAATGTGGTCGGATGCAATGGCTACAGATCAAGAGCTTCAGAAAAGTAGTCCCTTTATATATCTGTCTACACTGTGCCTCTTCACTAGTCCATGAAGCTTCACGTTCCTTCATCCATGAATATTCTTGGTTTTTTCATCTCAATCCGAACACCCAATTCAACCATGCGGAGATGAATAATTCTAATCACAGCAGGCACTGCAATAATTAACCAGCAGAGGTGACATTGGCTTCATTTAATATCCTCGGGTGAATGTGGTCCGAGCAATTTTTCCATCAATCCGACGCTTGCAACTAGTGCATTTTGGACTCCCCGCATTTGTGCCCCGGACTGATTGACTCTATTAACTGGTGCTTCTCCGGGGCTCCGCAATGGAGATGGTCCACATGGCCGTGAGTTTGGTCAAGCTTCGTGCCCCTGGTCGGAGCGACACCACGCTTTCTCATCTAAGCTAGCTCGTCTCGGGATAATAATCGCCGGCGGAGAACCCGGTGAAGGTTCGGTGCTAGCTATAAATGCCGCAATGCCCCTTCCGAGATGGAGGAATCGCTGTGTAGCGTGAATTGCTCAGCGGACAGCTACTAGACGCTGACTGTCACAATATGCGTCTTCGCACTTCCCTAGGTGTGGCGTCTGCCTGCGCCTCTGTTGCATCCGCAGCGCTGAAGGTCACGGAGGACAGCAGTACAATCACCCTGGCCAATGACCGATTAACATCCACCTTTGCCAAAGATAAAGGCCACGTCTCGGAGCTCTTCCTCGATGGCCAGGATCTCCTGGGCCCTATATCGGGTAGTACCGGTGTTGGTCCGTATCTGGATTGCTACTGTACACCCTCCGGCTTCTACACAGCTGGCAGTACCAACCCCAGTATGGAGGTAGTGCAGGGAACTGATTCAACTGGCACAAAATACGCCGGTGTAATCCTAAACGACACATACACGCCCACAGGGCAGCACTTCCAGCAGTACTGGTTCCTCCGAGACGGCGAGACGGGCTTGCATACGTTTAGCCGGCTGGCGTACTACAACGAGACGACGCCGTTCTTGCGCAACCTGCAAGAATTCCGAACCCTTTTCCGCCCGAATACTGAGCTATGGACACACCTGACATCTAGTGAGGCTCAGACGGCTCCCCTCCCCAGCAAGGACGCCATCGAAAACCAGGTTGTCGTGCAAGATGCAACCTGGCGCTTCAACAACACCCCGGACGATGCGTACTACACTCAATTCTCCGAGTATTTCACCAAGTATACCTTCTCTAACTGTAAGGCCTGTTTGGGACATAGTTTACGCTGCATCGGCTAATTGGGTACAGTGTGGAGAGACAGTAGTGTCCACGGTTTATATGCTGATGGAACCAACTCGAACGGCACCACGTACGGAGCGTGGCTCGTCATGAACACCAAGGACACTTACTACGGTGTACGTTAAAATAGCATTGCAGATTTCTAAACGCGCCGCTGACCAGCGTAGGGCCCCCTCCACTCAGACCTGACAGTCGACGGAATCGTGTACAACTATCTCGTGTCGAACCACCACGGAGAAGGAACGCCAAACATCACCAATGGTTTCGACCGCACCTTTGGCCCCCAGTACTTCCTGTTCAACGGTGGAAAGGGCTCTGCGGCGTCTCTGGACGATTTGCGATCGGAGGCTGAGTCCCTAGCCGACCCAGGATGGAACGCCGACTTCTACGACTCCATCGCCAAACATGTGATAGGGTATGCTCCCTCCAGCAAGCGCGGCAGCGTACACGGACAGGTCAAGCTGCCCAAGGGCTCCAAACGACCCATCGCAATCCTGACTGTAGACGGACAATACTTCCAAGACAACTCAGTGGAGGCCTCGTCGCATCAATACTGGGCCGAGATGGGCCAAGACGGATCGTTCCAGCTGGACCACGTCAAGGAGGGTAAATACCGCTTGACTGTGTTTGCCGACGGCATCTTCGGCGACTTCGTGCAAGATGGCATCGAGGTGCAAGCCGGAAAGGCAACCAAGGTACAGGAGACCTGGGAACAGGAGTCTGCCGGTGTTGAGGTCTGGCGACTAGGAACCCCGGACAAGTCCTCGGGCGAATTCCTCCACGGCGTCGCCCCAGACCCCACACATCCCCTGCATCCTCCCCAGCACCTCATCTACTGGGGAGCGTATGACTGGCAACAGGACTTCCCCAACGGCGTCAACTATACCATCGGCAGCAGCGACCCGGCCGTCGATTTCAACACCGTGCATTGGTCGGTGTTCGGCCCGACGCCTGAAAACCCAGATGTCGAATATGACACCACACACGACTGGACGATTAACTTCTCCTTGGACAAGAAGCAGCTGCAGCGACGCAAGACAGCCACGCTGACTATCCAGCTGGCTGGTGCGAAGACCGCAGCTGGCAACACGGACGTGTATAATGCGACTGAGCCCTACGCGAACCTGGCGTTGGAGAGCTACATCAACGAGCAGCAGGAGCCACTCACTTTGCTGGTCGGCTTCAACCAGTCCAGCAGCTGCATCGTCCGCTCTGCGGTCAGCTGCTACCAGGTGCGCTCGCGCATGGAATTCCCCGCCGACTGGCTGAACGTGGGCAACAATGTGCTCACCTTGCATCTGCCCCGTGATGCCACGGACTACGAGACGGCCGTCCTCCCAGGGACGGTGTATGTCCAGTACGATGCACTGCGTCTTGAGCTGTCTTGATATAGGTAGCATTGATGCGAGTACGAGTAGTTGTTGTACATATCTATGCCCTAACAGGCTTTGGCGAGTGTGTAGTTGTATAGAGAAATTAATTCAGTTACCAAACGATCCGCGAGGAATATGCTG